GAAAATCCAAGCCAATATTATGAAATGACCAGCACTTTGCTTCTCTCTTTAAAATTGGGTATTTATTTGTCATTTATTAAGTGAACTATGCTCAAACGGTTTACCTAAACATTTATGCATTGAATTGGGCTAATTTTTTTCGATCAAATGAAAGCAGTTGAGCAACTCCATCTCTGCAAAGAGGTGTCATTCTTTAACTGATGATGCCCTGCTAAGGGTAGTACATGATGATCTTAAAAGTCTTTTCCAACTCAGTTGATTCTGTGATTCCATGAACAGAGAGCAGGACCTCAAGACCTCCATACAGGTCCTGCTGACCACAAGCAGAGGAACACGACAGAGATCTATCACTGCCTTAACCCCTCAACAACATTTGCAAAGGTCATTTGTCAAAGCCCCAATATATCGTTCTGTTTCCTTTTCATGATGACAAAATTAGATTGCTAAAGAAAAGCAGAGAGCAGCCCCCTTTACAGGTGTATCAGCCTCTCTCTCTGTCTATTTACAGAGGTTACTCCCCATCCTCATTAGCAAAACAGCTCATCCATTGAATGTAACTTAACTGACAAATGGTGTTGTCCTTGGCAGGGTATCTTCAGTTGAAGAATGATGCCTCTTTGTAGAGATAGAGTTGCACAACCACTTTCATTTGATTGGAAAAAAATTATCTTGATTCAATACATAAATGTTTAAGTAAAAACCCTTTGGACATAGTTCACTTGCTTAATAAAAAACAAATAAATATCCAATTTTAAAGATAGCAGAGAGCTGCTGGGCATTTCACAAAGATGGCTTAGGTTTTTGTCCTGGGTTCAGCTGTAGCAGCCATTTTTCTCCCTCTTAGTAGCCGGTGCAGTGCTGTGGTTTTGACTTTCAGCCTGGGAACAGCGCTGATAACACCAATGTTTTTAGTTGCTGCTCAGTAATGTTTAGTCTGACCAAGGACTTTCTGAGTCTCATGCTCTGCCAGGGAGGAGGGGAAGCTGGGACGAAGCAGAGACAGGACACCTGACTCAAACTGACCAAAGAGGTATTTCATACCACAGCATGTCATGCCCACTATATAAACTGGGGGCAGTTACCCAGAAGGGGTAGATCACTGTTTGGATCGGGCTGGGTATTGGTTGGTGGGTGGTGAGCAGTTGTATTCTCTCCCCTTGTTATTTCCCTTATCATTATTATTACTGGTGGTAGCAGTAGTGGTTTTGTGTTATACCTTAGTTACTGGACTGCTCTTATCTCAGCCCGTGGGAGTTACATTCTTTCGATTCTCCTCCCAGGCCCTCCGGGAGTGGGGGGAGGAAGGAGCGGGGAGTGAGCAAGCGGCTGCATGGTTCTGGGTTGCCGGGCTGGGCTTAAACCATGACAGTTTTCTAGAAAAGAATACTCAAATCCACTTATAGATAAATTCAAGGCATGGTTATTTTTCCTGCAGCCTTTTTAAATATTGCTTTGGAATGCACACAGAAATGTGTGTGTTTGGTGGGGGTGGAAGGAGGAGGCTCCCTCTTCACAGTATGGGCTATCTCAGCACTATTTGGAGTACCTGTTAGTTTAATGCCTTTTCAGAGACCCTGAAGACATGGAGAAGCACTTCTTGTCTAACACACCCAATAAGGATTAAGCTTTTTTTTAATGGTTTCTTAGCGTTGCTATTTATTTACTCTATCTAGTTACAAGCATGTTACAGGGAGTGGGGGTTTTTCTTGTTTTGGTAAAGCAAAACTTTTCATTCAAATGCTAATCCTGGAATACTCCTGGTTAACACTGCATTTCACAGTGCACAATTCAGCTGTTTCTCAATTGAGTTCTTGCAGTCCCTCCTCTGCATCTGCCTCTTGTCCTCCGCATCCTCCTATAATGCATATTGAAGCAGCTGGCTTATCTTTTCTACCTTCAACCTCAACCATTTTTCCCCCCTCACCTTTTGTAAGTCCAGAGCAAATCTCAGCGTTGAACCTCCACCTCTGCTGGCTCTCTGGTCCACTCATTCCTAACTGCATGTGTATGTTGCCTGTGGTTCACGCTGCAGCAGTTACTCTGTCATCCTCATAAAAGAGGCTGTACACTGTGTGCTGATCAGCATCCCTTTGAACACCAAACATACTCCTTTGAGAGTAACCACATGTGCTAAGTTAGACTCTCAGTGTCATACTCACTAGCACCCACCACAGCAGAATGTGAAGGACCAGCACTCCCACTGCCAGCATTTCTCCCATCAGCAAACGCGTACAGGGCTCACGGCAGTTCAGCTTTTCTGAGGGCAGAATGCAGCCTGTATATATGTGGTTCTTGAGACAACTCATTTCACAGATTCACGAACAGAAAGCATATCATTGTGGCTTAATCAAATTAAATATTTAAATGAAAGCAATAATTACTTAAATTTGTCTTGAGACTTAGCAAGATTAAGTCTTTGAAACATCATTTTTGGCCTGTAGGCTATAATAAGTAAGCCAGTCTCTAATGATTCAGAAAAGACTAGAGGGTTTGGGTTATCACCAACCAAGAGGTATTTATGAAAGACGATGAGCCCGGTGGTTATTAAATGGCCCTCAGACAGTACCTCTTCTTTACAGATAACTTTGCTAACACAGCATCAACCAGGCATTGACATTAAGTAAAAGAAAAATCCTAGCCAAGCATTTAAATTGCCTGCCAATGTATCTGGAAAAGAGATGTTTAGTGACAGTGGAAATCACTACAGCAAATTTCAGCTCTCGTTATAATCTGTTAATTAATGTGTTAACATATGATTGCAGCAGATCAGTGAGACCAGCACTCGTGTCAAGTCTACGCATGCATAACACATGGCCGGCATACTCTGGGTCCAGAAAATATAGTAAAGGCACACGCCTTCACAGTTAATGTAATAAATCTCATGGTCCTTATGTGTACCTGGAAGGAATGCTGTCAGCTGAAATTTTTTACATGGGTTTCCTCGCTGATGTCAATGACAGGGTGATCGAATTTATGCAGGTATGACTCACGAGTCATGAGATGGTGAAGGTGGTCTCAGAGACTCTGCCTGATTGCGGACACAACTATGTTTAAGGTCATAGCTTGTAACTGCCTAAGTGCTGTCTTCAAGGAGCTCAGGCTGGCATGACACCCAGCTTCTTCTTAGTTTGCAGAGAAATAACCTGGAAAGGTCACGCTTTTCTGCACTCTGGGGAGAGCAACGACTGAAACCTGGGAACAAGCAGGCTGTCAGGAGACAAACAGGGACCACAGGAGCAGAACTGCATGCTTGGTGTGGAAGAGCAGCATCAGTATGCACCCACAAGGGGCTAGCCACCCCTTCAAATGAGGGAGCTGCTAAATGGAATACCTAGGAACTACTTCAGGCACAAGACTGATCATGGGCAGTGATGAACCAGACTGTTCCCTGCAGCAGTTACTGCTGTGTTTTATCTAGTCTTTCTCTTACATCCTTTGAGACACCCTTCCATGGGGTTGGGAATCTTAGTTCTGAGACACGATTTTTCTGCTAGTTAACTTTCTGTTAAATTTCTGTTCTCATTGCTCTGTCTCCTTCATGTTCAGTCTTTCAATTATTAGGTGAATAAAAAATTTGCAAGAACTTTTTATACTTCACTGAAAAGAAAATCTAATATCAATAGCACAGAAGGATATTAGAGTTCAAAATAATAAGGTAAAGCTTCTAGAGCATGTTGCACACCCCTTGGGCAACACCGTTAGTGGCTGCTGATAATAAAATCACTGGTAGGGGTAGAGATGGGGCTGATATTGGTAAAGATAATTTCTGGTCATATGCCAGATGAAAAGCACTCCAAAATGCCACAGGAATTGGCATAAGGGAGGGTGACCTGGAGCATCTCTCCTAAACCAATATTTTTAACTTTCAACCTCAATTTATTTGCATATATTTGTAAGAAACATCTCTGAAACAGAAACATAATTCCTTATTCTTGAAGCTTGACAGAAATATCAGTGCAAAAATAAAAGATAATGCAGCAAGTTTGTGGTTAACCCTGGGACACCATTTACATCCACTGTTCTTTGCACTGGGATTGATGCCAGGCTACCAGAAGCCCTGCACACACAGCTAAGGAAAGGATTTCTAACACCAACCATAAGGCTTAGCACACAGGGGCTGGAAATAGGAAGCTCTGTGTGTCAGTGCTTGAGAGTGGGAATTCTCACACCGGTGGAGGGTCAGTCTTGCCTGCTGAGCACTGAGGGTGCTCAGTCTTGCCTGCTCCTTCAGAAGGAGACTTCCCTCTTCCTCAAATGACACATGGTCAGAAAGCACTTATAGAATAAGGTATCAGCAGCTGCATCAATCCTTCTAGCTAAGAAAGAACCAGGATGTGCATTCACACATCAGATCCTGATTATCTACATTGCTTAATCCTTAGGTCACTGATGGGCTTTTGTTTTCTAGAGACCATTGTACAGGCAGCTTGCCCCATACAGCATGGATATGAATCCGGCTTGGCCACATCGCTGACTCTCATTCAGTGCTTAGTGCAGCCACCAACAGTAAAACCAGTAGCTTCTTTGTGAGAAAGCTGACATAAGGAACAAGTGTTATTTACCAGCTTCCCAAGGATGTAAGTAACCAAAGCCATACTCTCCAGGCTTGGGTTAGAAAGCCATAAACATGCCAGACTTCAAAGACAGCTAATTGCACTCACTGTGATTTGCCTTGATCTGTGTTGTGATGTGATGCCTCTGCCTACCCTGCCAAGATCTCCAGGAATGTTAGCTCCCATATTGCAAGACTATTAAATACCATGTCTTAAATTTATACATACATTCCTTCATTTTCTTTTATAATGTTCTTTTGGAAAACATTTCCAGAAAGCCTATCTGAAATCCCTTGCCTTAGCACCATACCAGAATGATGCACTATGAATACGCCCACCACACACAACTGGGTTGCTTCTCCAAGCCTGCACTTATGTCCTTTTTTACTTTTATGGACAACACATAGAAGAGTATAATGTGGCTGAGGTGATCTGATGATGACTCACCTAGTTCAAACTGGTTGGAAAGGTTACCACAGGTTTGTCTGACTTCTTCACTGTCCCAGCCAAGAGGATAGAGGGCACAACCAGAGCCAATCAACAAACCTATGGAGAAAAAAGAAAATAGAAGTTTATACAATTGGCTTAAACACAGGCTGCCACTTGCAAGTGTCAAACTGACATTTGGGAATCTCAGAGAAAAAAAAGTACATCTTTTTTTTTCTCCTAAAACCAGTAGAACGTCATTTGGACTCCTACTGCTGCATTCTGCTATACTGCTTTTACATATGGTCTGTGGCCTGGAGGCAGCTTTGGTGGTTAAGCACCAGAAGCCATCCTCATCTTCTAGAGCTTCTACCTCAGAGCTTTTAGACTTCCCTTCTACTCTACATAACTACTATATACTCTGTTTGGAAAACTCAGCCAGGGTTAAGTAGAAGATGTGTTAATCACAGCAATTACAAGCTGATTGCTTCTGATTAATTAAAACAACAGTCAACCAGGGTCTATCAGGGTTCTAGCAGGAAAAGTAAACTGACAGTTGTGTTAATCTGTTGTCATCTTCCTTTGGTTTTCGCCCTTTTGAAAGCCAAGGAAGAAAGGTTTCATGTCACACCACAGGCACACACTCCACAATGTTTTCTGAAACATTTCAGCCAAAACAACCAAGCCGTTTTCCTATTGTCATGTTTGACTTAACACTCACAACATTTTTTGCTTTCTCGAGCCCTCATGCTACCCCAAGCAGATGTGTTTTGGCTAAGTCCTTCCCTTCACAAGATCTTGCTGAGAATCACCCGATGGGCCATGATTATTTTGCAGAAGTGGCATTTTTTATCAAACTGCATTCTCAGCTGTCACTGCAGCAGCTGCCAAAAAGCAGGGTGTTGCTGGCAAAGCTTCTTACACAGGCAGACTGTGCTACAGCATTTAAATGTACCTCCTTTGTGCCAGATCTTATTTATAAGATTGGAAACAAATCACTATGTAGAAAATGGGCTCGTTGCACCTGAGTTACCTGCAGGCTGTAAAGGCAAACAGGTCCTCAGAAAGTTTGGAGTGTGGTTTTGCAGTGTTGCCTTTTACCTGTTAGGTAGAGCACAGGACTGGGACAAGGTTTCAAGCCCTACAGCTGTCACTCTGGGCAAGTCCCTTGACTTGACACCACCTCACTTTTCCTCTCTTGACAATGAGAATAAGGACAATGTGCTCCCTGGCAAAGCACTTCTGCTGCCGTGTTCCTAGTGCAGAAAAGCCCTGGGTGTGATGACAGGCACTATGGACATCACACCAGTTGAAGAGGAGTCCTGGGAGTCGTAGGAATGATCCTGACTCAGGGCTTGGAGCTAGCTATGCCAGCTATTTCTACTATGTCCTCAAGATGCCTAAGTTTCTTATATTTCTGATGCTACTGTAAGATACAGATATCACCTTATTATGTCTTTGACTTGCTCAAAGACACACCTGAACAAGGCACTGAAGTCCAGAAACGTATCTCATCTTCTTCCAAAAGACGTTTAATGATCTTAGCATCTTAGCTCTTAGCAAAGTACCACAGCCATTCCTTTGCTGGTCCTCTGAGCACATCTGCCCCTGTTTTGGCCAAATCTTCATTCCTTAGATTTTCACCCACTAAGTTCAAATATCTTCTTGCTGCTCAAGTCTACTTCTTCCTTTCTTTGTTGAGCAGTAATTGCTATCTCCTCTCTCCATATCTACAACACATAATGGAAAACAAATCCCTAAGGCAGCCCCCTCTCAGATGGGGTATTCACCCAACAGCTGTAAAGGGGGAAAAGCAATAAAGGACTGAGACAAGGAGGCAAAAAAGTACAAAATGTAATCAGTTCTAAGTAATGTTAAGTTTGATGGCTTTGTAATGGAAAATAACTGCGGTGCTTGGAGGTAGTTGACATAGTTTCAGGCTCTAAGGGCCTCAGTGCAAAAGATGTGAGAAAAGCAGAATAAAAGGACAGGACCTGGGATGGGGAGTATCCCGGACTAGCAGATGTCCAGGATGAGAGCAGTTAAACTAACTGGTAAGTAGAAGGCCAGGATGATTGCTATGTCTGTAATGTTAATTAAGCTTGTTGGGAAAAGTAAACGACCCTTAAAGACCACCACATTTTTGTATGCATGCCGGAAACCTTTTGGAAAATGATGTAATATACTCAGTAACCATATAAGGATGACCTGTACAGCAATTCGGAGACACGTTAGGAGGAACTATCCCCCGTGTCTCCCGTCGCCGAAATAAAGAACACCTGCTTGTCAACTTGAAACTCTGTTGGCAAGTTTGTTCCTGGAGTTTTCTCCGAATCAGGACACATGAATGCTAGGTATTTTCAGAACTTTGTCTGACCTGGATATAGCTGCTTCTAACATCCTCGCTAACGGCTTTCGTAGTATCATCTGATTTTTTTTCGCCCAGGGCCACGGAGACAACACCAGCTCGTAGAATCCATGTAAATAAGAGTCCCTTCTAATTAAATTCTCAGAAAGGATGTATCTCAGACAAGAGAACTTAGGACAAAACTGGGTCTACATTTGTTAAAGATAACTTCAGACTCTGAAAAAACCTGACTGATTCTCACTTGAATTGTTAAAGCAAGAAGGGCATTGTGAAGTGCTGACAGCACAGGTGATGTGCTTGGGATCAGCAGGACCCAATGGGGCAAGAAGGAACATCACCACTGATGATGAGAATGGCTGGGAAAGGGAGGGAGATCGCCTAGATGCCAGAGAGGACAGTGGCAGCCCCAGGCAGTCCTGATGTGGATCTGACTATTTCCCACACTGGCCATGGTTCCCATGACCTGCCTGGTGCCAGCCCAGGCAGACAACAGCTCAGAAGCTGCTCTGACTAAAAGTGAACTGGACTGCCTGTGCTGGTTTCAATCAACTTGTGTCCTTGAACAGACTCTCTGGAGACCTTGCAAATGCTCAAAGGGCCCCACTGCAAGGGTTAGGGAGATGCAGGGGGTAGGAGGGAAGGCAGACTTGCAGCTGCCTGCACTGGACCAGATGAAACAGCAGCCAGCCCTTCCTCACAAGTAGGTCCTGGGAAAGCCTCTTGCCCAGTTCTTCCAGGAGAGCACAACAGCAGCACTGCAGGCAAGTGAAAGGACTATTAGCATAACAATGCTGCCCCTCCAAACCCAGAACAAGCTCTTGCCAATTACTCTCCTCAGGTGGTAATAGTATCTGGTGGCCACTGCATTCACAGAGGACTGTTTATTTAGGTTTTGTTGCAGTAACCAGGTTGTTGTTTGTTTTTTTTTTTCCCACGAACGCCACTCACAGCACTTTCCACTGCCACCTTCCAAGCAAAGCCCATCCTCTTCCAAACATGGGTACCTGTTCACTCTGTCTGCCTCTGATGCTACACTGAATACAGTGACCGCAAGCCTCGATAACTTATTTCCTTCCTTAGCCAGACCTTTTCATCCCCCCGTCACACCTTCTTTCACATTTCTGCAAATCCATCTCTGTAAGTCCAAAGCCCAGTTTCAGTGAAAATAAATTATCGGGCTCAGTCAAAAATTCATTAGCAATGCAATATTCTGTAAAGTTAAATTGCTCCAAAGGAGCAACTGCTTCACTTAAACATAGTGCTTGTCCTTAAAGCCATTCTGCACTGTTCAGCTCACAGCACCCCCCAGTGTGCCTCACCATTACCTGTGCCTCCTAGAAATAAATAAACCAAATAAGGGAAGTCTAGCATGCTATGTTAGAAAACCTCCCTACCCCAGCAACATCTGGCTCTCCAGTTAGCTATGGGCTTTAGCAGTGCTGTTTCGGTTATGGAGTAACAGACATTGAGCACTGCAGCTTTTTTTCTACTCACAGCCTGCACTGACTGTGATGATGAAATCAAATGGGAAACTGCTACCTAACGCCAGTGCTGATGCCCCATGGCCCCAAAGCACCAACAGCAGCATGTTTATGTGTCAAGGACAAGGTATAAAACCACTGGCAAGCTCACATACTTCGTTTAGTGAACACAAAACCTGCCAGAGACCAAAGGTGCAGCCAGGAGAACAAGGTACATTCCCATCTGGGAAAAAGGTTTTGCCACAGGTACCAACTGGACACAAGTCTTAAAGCTGTTGTTTTGATATCTCCTTTGATGGTCACTGGTTTTCAGCTGGTTTTGGATCACCTTCAAATGTTTTCCCTGTAGTGGCACATAAGTGCCTGTTGTTGATTTAGGTCTATTGGCAAACCAGTTGTGTTCCCCAGTACTTCTTGAAGGCAACAAGCAGGCCAAACTCAAAGACTTACCTAGTGTAATGCTTCCACAAGGACTGCTAGACAGTAAGAAAAAAATAACAAGTTTTGGTTTATGCCCTGAGGTAAGTATGAGTGTGTGTGTCTAATGTCCCATTGCTTTCAGGAGGATTCTTCATGATTTTAACACGGCTGATGCTGCCTTGGTCTTCACGGACAGTGAAGTCAGAAACTGGCATTTCAGCTCCCTTATTTTATGCACTAGAAGTGTGGAGTATGCCTCAAAGCCCATGGTGCAAATGGAACCTGGACAAAAGCCCCGCAGCCCCTTCTTTCTCTTCTGATCAATACAACCCCTGTTTGTAAGCAACTGAATGTGTGGATCAGACCCTGCAAAGCAAAAAGACTGCACACTATTACAGCTAATAATTCATATACCAATGTGTTTTATCACAGAGAATGTAGATCCTGCTGAACAGCTGCAACCTCCATTTAAAAATCTAAGCTAAATTCAAGGGCTGCAAACCCAATGGAAATCTTTAAGCTAATTTTGCAGTTTCAGTAAAGAGCAGTTATTTGTTGAGCTCTAGAGTCACATCCTGGCCTGCCCAACAGTTATTGTATTTAGCCAGCTACACTACCCAGGACACCATACTCATATTGACAGCTGCTTGAAACACTTAGGATGCCTGTAACATTTCTTAAGGAAAGTAAGAAAAAACAAAAAACCAACAAACCCAACCACCCTGCTGTAATTGCGATCATCTGTCATCTTTCATTATCCAGTACAGACATTAAAAGAAATAGGGGAAGGAAACATGCAAGTCCATAAACAGCACCCTCACAAAAGGGGCTGTGGCTTCCAGGTGCAAGGG